TCTTATATTTTAACACTTTTCCTTTTTTATTTTCAATCGGATATCTCGTGTTGTTTTTTATTTAGCTTCTCGAATGCTTTGTTGATAACCACGGATATCTAGTATCTTGTTTTCTTCTCTGAATTTTTGAGATTTTATTCAGTTGATATTATTCTGTTTACTTTTCCTTTATAAATGTCGAATTCGTTTCCTCGATCTTTTATATTTCCGAAAGTTTTTCTCTTCCTATCATCAATCATGACATCGAGGAAAACAAGTTCCTGTGAATTTGAACGAATCCGTAATCAGAGCAACTGAGCGGGATGGATTCGTTCTGGTGACATGAGCGAAGCGCTCACCGAACTCCTTCCCGAAGAGCCCTGGCTTCCTTGTGTAGTGGCTTGGTCTGAAGCCAAAGACCCGGAGGAACCAAAGCCAGCAACTCTTTTAAATTCTGGTAGTCTGAATAGTTCAGAGGGGCGTGATCGTCCTCCGAAGAAAGAAAAGATTTTGGGGAACGATGCTCAATCCGGTCCTGCGAGTGAAAGTGTGGTCGCAAAGCCGTTTCACTGGAAATTTTACCATGCCAAGGATTGTTCGATAACGGATGATCCCGACATTTTTGCTCATTTGTTTAGGCATTTCAAGCCATCGGGTGTCCTATTCCTTCATTGCGGAATATGACGGAACACGACGCCAATGTAAAGATGGTGGTTGCTCACACTAAAGTCAGTTGGTTTAGTCTTTTGATCTTTGATGTTTACTCTCTTATCATGTGTATTCTTGATACACTTTCAGGCTATGGAGGCCAATAAAGAATTCGCGGCGACCTTAGAAAAGCGTCTGAGGGATATTCCTCGAGCTGACGAACTTTACAAAGTCAAAAAGCTCGTCCGGGAGCTGAAGCTCAGTTTGAAGATGGCTCAAGACAGGGAACGTGTCAGTGTTGCTCAACTAACGGCGGGTGAGAAATTGGGAAACCAAGCTGCTTCTCTCGAGGCTCGTCTCTGGATCCTCGGAAATGAAAGGAAATCGGCTTTAAAGCAGGTTTCCGCGTTGGAGATGCAGATTGAATCTCTGACAATGAACCACACGGATGAGCTCGCCATGTGACTTATGATGCTAAGAAGACTTTAGCAGAAAGCTATCTGGATGTGTTGATGTATTTTAAGGAGAAGTGGGAGAAGAAGAAGGCTGCAGTGGATTGCGAAAGGTCATGGCTAACATCGATCTTATTAAGGAGATAATGAATAACAATCTGCTCGCTTCTGACGAGTTATCGCATCTTCGAGCTAAGAAAGCCGAGCTTGGAACCGAGCTTGACGTGGCGGCGGTATCAGAATTTTTGGTTGGGAAGTTATATCTTCCTATGATTTATGAGGATTTGCCTGAGAATTTCTTCTCTAAGGTCCTTGCCAGTGGAGACAAATCTGGTGGCGAGCAGGGGCGTAAAGGCGATCACTATGAAGGTGTCGAGTTCAATGCCGATGATTAGTTTTATCTTTTGTTTTCCTTTTGTTGTTTCTTTTGGTGATTTTAATAAAGACTTGCAAGTAATAGTAGTTTGTTTGATTTCGGTTTAGTGTAAGCGTGCAACCTTTGTTTTTATTTTCGTGGTTGTAGATCGACTTCGATAAATATCGCGTCGATAAGTTGTGTTTGAGTAATGACTTTATTATTATGAAGCACCGTGTTTTTAGCGGGATCCTAACTGTTTCCATAGACTTAATCATGGTCTCTTCATGCAGTTAAATCGAATTGTAGAAGTGAGAATTTGTCTTTATTTATTATCAGAAATGGTTCTTTGTATACAAATTTGCATTAAGTAACAGAAAAGATGTATCTGTGTGGATAGGTTGTTTTCTTATCCGGATTTGATCTCCTTCTGAGAAATTGTTTTGTGGTGAGTGATTGAACTCAGGTCGTGAGCTGCCTACGTACCCTCGTCAAGGGATCAAGTTTAAACATAGTTTGATTGTTTACCCAATAACTATGGTTGTATTTTTTGAATAGTTCGTGTACATGAGTACGGTTCTTGTTTTTTTGTCTTGAGGCTTCTTGGCTGATCCTATGGATCTGGCTTGATGACTTTGAAGCTCGAGACGTAGCATGTTCTGGAGTTCTTCTTACTCCCGTTTATGGTTTCGATTCCTTTTGGCGAAGAGAACTTCGCGCATTTTATGGTAATTTGATGGTACTACTTTCATTATGTATAGCCATGGTCTCCCGAGGATGGCGTTAAATGGAGCGGGTCGATCTATGACGATAAATTTGATGATTTTTCTTACATCTCCAGCGGTCATGGCGAGTTCGATGGATCTGAGAGAATAGGTAGTCTCTCTTAGAAATCCGAGTAGTGGGGTTCTTTCTTGTTTTAGGAGTGTTTTGGTGAATCTCATTCTTTTGAATGCGTCATGGAAGAGCATGTCTGCGGAGCTTCCGGTATCTATCATGATTCTGGATAAATCGCATCCTCCGACGTCGAGTCGTATAACGAGTGCTTCGTCGTGTGGTTTATCGAGATCAGCGGTTTCATTTTATTCGAAGGGGATTTTGTGATTGGGGCCTGACAGAGGTTCATGTATGCCGATGCTACTTTCTGCTCTTCGTTGGTGCGCTTTGAAGGAGTTGACTGAGTTGCAGAATTTCTATCCTCCCTAAATGAAGTCGATTATTTTTCCCTTTTTCTGATGATGCGCTGGAAAGGGCCATTTTTTTGTCAGAGTCGGCTGGTGGTGTCCTTGCCCCTAGGACAGGTTGGATTTAAGTAGACGTGGGTTGTGCTTTTTCTTATATATCGGTTTCTCCAGTAGCCATCGAATCGTGTTGAGTTTGTTGTTCTTCTTCGGCTCTTGGTGGCATTTGGTTGTTCGGTTGAGAGGAGGAGAACATGTTCCTATCGAGTTCTTCCAGGCCTTGTATCATCATCGTGATGTCGATACTTATTAATTATGCGGTTTGATTCGGTGTCTTTTTACGTTCGGACCCCTATGTGATCATGTCGACTCTTTTCTTTGGGGCTGGTGGCAAAGATTCTGGTGTTTCTGGTTTGACATCTCTTTTCTTTGGCTTGAGATGCAAGATCCTGGAACTCTTTGACGTAAGCAGAGATTGTTCCAGTTTGTTGAAAGCGAAACAATCGTTTGCCTGGTGTCTTATCGTAAGATTCCGAAAATCTAGCCAACATCCTCCTCTTGAATTCCAACCAATCCTGAAAAAGAGTTTGCTCAATCTCATAATTGTACCTAGTGAGAGCATCTTCTTCCAAACTCAACGATACAATCCCCAAATGAGCTTGAGGCAAACACTGATATACTCGAAAATACCTCTCCGCTTGAGCAGTCCAACCATAAGGATTCACTCCTGCAAACATCGGCATCTCCACCTTCCTAACATGACCATCGCGATCTACCGGTGGAGCTATCGACCGATAACCTAACGTGGAGGCTTCCAAAGGATTCGATTGTACCTGATAGGCTGTGGGAGGTGTCTGTAACTGTTGAATCGTGGAAAGAACTGATTTCAACGTTCCCTCAACAGATTCGAAACGCCCTTCTATCTTCGTCTCCAAGACTTCTGTCGATCTCGCGACTCTCTTATAACCGCCTTCAAGATAGTCGAACCACTTGTTCATCTCTGCCACCGAATCGTCGAACTCGTTCATCCGCTGGAGAGATTCTTGTAACTCTATCATCGCTAAGATCCGATCTGCTTACCGCACGAATTGATAAGCAATAAGCAACGGTTTTATTGAATATCAAAATTTGTTACATAATTACTCAAGAATCTTTTTTCTTGAGTCACTGAATCGCAGAGAACAGCCTCTCTCGATCTCAGATTTCCACTAACAAACTTCACAAACGACTCTGTAACAAACTAATTTGTATTTATACAAGACATTTATTATCTAGTCCTCAATCTTCTCATTATTTACTTTTGCGTCTTCAATAAGTCTTTGTTGTAAACTTATCCCTGTTAGTCTCTTCTCTGCATACTTCCTTGTCACGTCTCACAGCCTTCCTATTTCTCTTCCTGTAATACACCCTCCAGGGTCTATCACTGTTTCCCATTTCATAAGAACTAAGAAGTGGCATGTTCGTTAGACTCCCCTAACGAAACATTGTCGTTCTTTGATTTTGTCAAGGACACACTTTCTACTTTTGGGTCATGATTCATGGATGTATCTTTATTTTATTTTGGATTATCAAATAATATTTACCTACGTGGAATTTGAGAAAAACACTCATGGTGATTAATTGATGTTTATTTCAGTTGGAGAAAGTCTATGAATCATCTAACTGATGAACTATTAGTGTCACTACTTTTTTGTTAAGAAAATTTATGAATCTTCTTGGTGATATTTATGCCGAGTGTTAAATAAACACAAGTTAATGTTATGTCTTCAGAAGGTGTTTGAATCAGGATCCTGATTCGCAGTCTGTCTAACAAAATACAACTTTTTAAATGAAATATTGTCATCGATACCACTCCCTTAGAGTTCAAACCATGACAAAGTATATTTATGCAACTGAGTATTTATTTTTGCTAAATGTATGCAACTGAGTATTGACCAGACTCTCGATGATAGAAAATCATCAGATTCTTTGAGTTTAAACGAGCTTTGGATTTTTAAATAAAATTCATTTCTAATATTTATAATAATTTCATACTTAGTTAAGTATGGTGTACACTTAAACAGAACCATGTGTTATAAAGTCAACGTGTATTATTTACTTTTAGCGTACGGTAAGTGCCAAAGGAGTGTGCCACTGGAGTAAAAACAAAGGAAAAAATGACTGAAATCGCGCAAGTGGGAGACACAGATGAAGCAACCTCAGAAGAACTAGGGCAAACGCTGATCTGTTTTCCGAATCCTGTTCAATTGTCTAGCTGAAAAACCACATGTTCTAATTAAATTTTGCTTATTTATTAACTCTGATTACTTCTTATACACGCAACCCCAAAGTTAAAGCATCAATGATTGCAAGAACTCAGCAATGCAAAAAGAAAAGATCAAAGAGATGGATGGAGAAATCATTGGTTTCGTCATAGTATGGGCTCTTTCAGGAATCTCCGTATCTTATTGTTACTACATATCAACGAGAATCAGAGCTGGACTCTTTCGATTAATCTCTGTTCTTCCCGTTTGTGCTTTGTTTCAAGTTTTTCCTCTGTTTTTCTCCTCTCTTCATTTATCTTGTTGCGTATCTGCTGTCCTTGCATGGATGGCTAGTTTAAAGCTCATACTCTTCTCTTTTAATCAAGGCTCTCTTTTCCCATTTCCACCAGATATCTTTCGGTTCATCTGCTTCACTTGCTTACCCATCAAGGCCCAACAAAACCCTAATCCTAAAAGTCAAATTCCCAAATGGGTTTTCCCCATTAAAGTTGCCATATTTGGTGTGGTGTTACATATGTATGACTACAAACAGTATATATCTCCAGTTGTACTATTGGTTCTCTACGCTGTGCATATATACGTGGAGATAGACATTGCCTTGATGTTTGTCAAACTTCTGGTCTTTATCACTCTTGAGTGTGATCTGGAACCACAGGCCAATGAACCATACTTAGCCACTTCTCTTCAAGACTTCTGGGGTCGCCGGTGGAACCTTATGGTCCCGGCAATCCTTCGGCCGGCCATATACTTCCCCGTGCGGCAGTTTTGTAGAGGCCGAATGAGCTCCGACTGGTCTACATTTTTGGCAGTTTTGGCAACGTTCTTTGCTTCTGGTGTAGCTCATGAGGTGTTCTTCTTCACTTTAACCTTTGAGATGCCTACAGGAGAAGTGACTTGCTTCTTTGTGTTACATGGAGTTTGCACTGCTGCAGAGGTAGCTGTGAAGAGGACGGAGTTTGTGCGGCGGTGGAGGGTCAGTCCAGCAGTGTCACGGCTGCTTACGGTGGGGTTTGTGGTTGTGACGAGTGGTTGGTTGCTTTTCCCTACTCTTGCACGAAGCCACATGCTGGAAAGACTCGCTAACGAAGCCTTGTTGTCCATTGATTTCGTCAAACGCACGTTTTATAGTTTTGGGTCATAGTAAATGGTTAAATGATGATCTTTTTAATAAATAGTTGATTCATGATTTATGCATTTAAGTGCTCCTGGATTATCAATCATATTTTGTTTCTGATGTTAAATAATTACAATACTTTCTAAATGCTTTTGAAATAGTGCAATTTTTATTTAGGAACTTTATATTGTTAATTAAATAAATATTTAATTATTTTAAGTATCTATATTTCAACAATTATATAATTTAAAATTTATTAAAACGGTTACACAATATATTTAATGTTAATGTATATACTTTATTATTTTAAATAAAGTTATGTTTCATTAAAATTAGTATATTATTTTTAAAACTTTGGATATATTATTAACATCAGAAGTAAATAAACTATTAACTTATTTTTTAAAGGCAAATAATTAAGTTTTAATTTCATTTTTAAGAAAAACTGTACAGAATTAGTGTATTCACTGCATGATTACATCTACATAATAGAGTGCTTTGACACTATTAATACCAAGGACATTTTTGATCCCTTCTTTAAATAGAAAATCGAATTAGACAAACTTCAAACTATATAAAACTAAAGTATACAGAATATATCCGAAAAAATAAAATCCGCGCGGGTGTGCAGGTCATGATCTAGTGTATAATTATATGTGTATAAGAAATTTAGAATTATTTTTCCTAAGGGCGCCCATATATCCATTGAGCCGGCTTTGCACATAATATAAGGACAGATCTACTTATGATTCAATAGATACTTTTGAGTATGACTACGTAAATAAAATTTATTATAATTAAATTTTATATTCGGTTCTTGCTTTAATTCATTCTAAGTACTCTTACACGCAACCACTAAGTAAAAACTTAACAATGCAAAGAAAATGACTCAGGAGCTTAATCAAAGTGAGGGGTTGTCAAAAATCTCAGTATCTTATTGTTACTAGTTACTAGTAAGCAATGTTCAAGAATAGACGCTAACTAGGGGTTTTATAGAAAAATAGCGATCAGACTCTACACGCTAAGATGATGTTTCAGTTGATAAAGTCGGTTGTTTCAAGCATCGTCTTTTGGAGATCAGATTTTATATTGCCAATGAGTTGCGTGGATACAATTGGAAGCTTATGTCGTGATTTCCTATGGTCCGGTTCTCCGAATCAGACACTTAAGGCCAAAGTGAAGTGGGAAAACTTGTGCTACTCCAAAGCAGAGGGAGGGTAAGGGGTGAGGCACATTCGGGATATGGCGTTTACTCACTATGCCAGGATCCTTGTGGGTCTCTTGGGTACAGCATTATCTTCTAGGTCATAGCTTGTTTTGAGATGCTCAAGATAACATTTCTAATTTATTTATTTTGCAGGTTTAGAGTCGACGGTAGAGTGGCACAGAACAGTTTCTGACACCATTAAGGGATACTTTGTCAAGCCACATCTTAATTAGAATCGCACACCCGTGCACATCCTGGCTGCGTGATTCAAATTTTTTGAAGTAAGTTCTTATTAAAAAAAACTATTCCTATCCTTTTCCTAACAAGAGCTAAAAGAATTTTAAATGTTTTTTTTTTAAAACATGTTTACAGCAAAAAAGGCATTAGTCTATTAATAATAATGATAATGTGAGGGCGGAATTTAATTCTAAGGAAATACACTCCTAAGAAATACCATCTCTGACTAGAATGACGTTGGAAGCTCAGAGACAATGATGAGAAATTCATCTACATCAAAAAGTTGTATGGGATTGTCTCGTTCGCTATTGGACCAACCCCAATCTGTTCGAGGTTCTCGCACGAGTGGTCCAGACGGACATTTGTTAATGTTTTACACTAACGAATAAAAACCTTATGCCACTTTTCATCTACAAATTGTAAGTTAGTTAACTTTTATTTTTCTTTACCAATCTTATTTTTACTTTAATCTACTTTTTAGGCCGCAAAGAAAAGAAACTACCATCTCTTTCCTGACTCTTTGAGGCTACACATATAACATGGACTGGAGCTTTTGTGGATCGTAGGTCCGAAACGATCCACAGCAAAAGTGGTTGCTCGTATCAGAGCGCCAGATCCAACTGACGTCGCATTAGTCTATAAGAGGTGGACAAGATTTGCGATGAGGTAAAATTTATACTTTTATTTAAATCTCTTAATTCTTTTTCTTATATATTTCATCTAATCTCATATATATTAATCCTAGAACATTACAACATTTAAGTGTAGACACATGTCATCACTATGATCACTCTTAGAATCTTTAGAAAAATATGTTGGTCCATCTAAATAGAAAGTATATTTTTTATTAAATTAACTATCAAAATGATTTGTAGTGCATAAAGAATATTCTTTATTCTTTCCTTAAGTAAAAGCTATGGAATTACCTAATATGATTAACATATGTATGATAATTAATGATTTTAAATAATAAATATTTAATAATAGTTTTTGTATCCTCCATCATTTTTGTTTAATTTATATTATTAAAAAAATCACATTAACCATATAATAAAAAATCTATACTTTTTTCTTATATGTTATATTTTAAATTTTTTAAAACAGCTATAAAGTACTAAAACTGATAAAGTCTTACAATGAAAATTTTGGGAACAATTGTTTATTTTTTGTTATAAAAATATAGAAATCCCCTATATTAATTCTAGATCATTATCGTAGTCACCTGTCATCACCATAATAACTCTCAAAATCCTTATAAAAATAAGTTGGTCCATATAATTATATATTATAATTTTATTAAACTAACTAACAAATTAGTGATTAGTGTACAAAAGAATATGTTTTCCTTCCTTAAATAAAACCTACAGAATTACCTAATATGATTAAATTAATGATTATGAATAATACATATCTGATAACAATTTTTGTATCATTTATCTTTTTTGTTTAATTTTATATTATTAAAAATAATTGAACAATCACATTAAGCATATAATATAAGATTATATTTTTTCTGATATGTTATATTTAGAATTTTTTTGAAATGACTATAAATTACTAAAAATAGTAAAACTCTCACATTGAAATTAAGTTATATTTTATTATATTATATTATATATATATATATCCATATAATTTAAATTAAATTATATACTATATAAAATATATTAGTTTCAAAATTTAAAGTTAAAATTTATTGAGATTTTAATATTTAAATTTTGAAATTCGTATTAAAAAAATCTCACATTAAAAAAATTATGATTTATTAAAATTTTAGTTAGAGCAAAATATAAAAATATTAATAAAATAATATGAATTGGAAGTGTCAATAATAAACAGAAATTAAATATATATGTGTATATATATATATATGTGTGTCAATATCAATAAAGTTTAATTATATACAATAAAAAATAAACTAAATGGATATATCATTTATTTACCAAAAACATGATTGTAAATTAACAAAAGGTATTAGTTTTGATTTATGTGCTTACTCTAATGTATATACTTTTATGTATACAAATTAATTTTTAAATAGGTAGTTTCTAATATGTTATTTGATCCTGACAATCCGTGAATTACATTTCTTCAAATCAAAGTGATTTTTAATACTGGAAGCCCTATATATATATGTATATTATTTCATTCAAATTAAATAATTCAGTTTTGATATTTATTCCTAAAAAGCTTTTAATGAAATATCATGACAATCCAGTCACCTCCTTTTGTGTTTGTTCGAAGAATGAGAGATTTGATCATTCATCTAATATTTATTTCTCCATAATACCAATGTAGCTGTTATAATTCATCCAAACAAGACTTATGATCTTAGTACTTTGAGATTTGGTTATAATTTGAACCGAACCGAAATCCGAATTAGATCTGAAGATTTCTAAAATTAGTATAATATGTTAATATTTTCTTGTATACTAAGGCAATTTAGATTTTTTATTGTATTCAAAATTTTTTTTGTAGTTTGTTTTATTTTTTATTTTGAATATCATTTAGTTAGTTTAGATAGATTAACTAATTTTAAATTAGTTTTACGAACAGTTTAAACATTTTGACAATTTTTTTTGTCAATTTTGAGGTTTCAAAAATATTTTTGTGGACGATTTTAGATTTTTGTTACAATCCGATCAAAACCAAATCCGGAAGAAACCGAATCGAATCCGATTCGATAATTAGTAAAACCTGAATAGATTTGAAAAGCAGAATACAAAACAATTGAAAATCCGATGCAATCAAACCAAAACCAACGGATCTCCGAATGCCCATACATATGATATATTTAGGAGCCCAAAATTTGTATTCGTTATTTTACAATCGATAAAGAATATAGTGTTAAAAATGTTAAAACTGAACAAACATTAATATAAAAAAACTCATCCCGCGCATGCGCGCGGGTATCATCTAGTTATTATTATTTTTGGTTCTTTTTCAAGTGTATCCCATAAAAGGGATGGATTTCAGGGAACAATGTGAGGGCAACATCACCTTATTTCCAGAGATGGAATGATTTTTCTTAACTCGAGCTGATTTGGAAGTGGTAAAAGCTCATTTGGAATCCATGGAGAGCTTGCTAGACATCTTTGCCATTGGAAACCCAAAGATGCAATGAATTTTGGAGCTTTTAGGCGCCACAACTTCAGGATTCCAGATCCACAACAACGTACCGTGGAGGAGTAGACTGAACTGGTGTAAGGAAGCAAAATGACCAGCTCGAAACTCTTCGAAGATATCAGCATCCACCATTAGTTAGATTTATATTTATATGTTTTATGAATATTTTCAGCTTTGTAATATTATTTATATATATATATATATATATATATCAGTTTTTATTTTAAATTTATATTTTGAGTTTTAAAATTATACAGATTTGTTTAAATATTTGAAAATAACATTTTGTAGTAAAATTATGTTAACGATGTAAATTTGTTGTTAATGTTACGACAACATCGACAAGTTTGTTAATTTTTTGTAAAACTGACAACAAATTTACATCGACACCAATGTTATTTTTTCATTATTTTTACTACAAATTAACAAGGTCATCAATGTAATTTCTTCATTAAATTAATTATGAATTAAATCTGATAGATGTTGTAAATTTGCCACTAGTGTCACATTAGCCTAACAACTTATTACTACAAAATTTAACGATCACTTATTAACGATTATTGACGACTAATTTACAAAAATGGTTAAATCGCTAATCTACATAAAGTTTCCACTTTGCGACCAATATGTTTAGTACAAAGTTACAAAGAAATCAAGCGTCGTACAATTTCAACAAAATAACGACAGTTAGTCTGTTATGATGACGATTAACGATAATTTATGAATCGTTGTTATTTCGTCATAACATACGGTTAACTGACAAAATGGCTGTCGTTAACCTTATATTTTCTTGTGGTGCGTTAAGCGTGCAAGAACCTTTTATTTCATCAGAATGAGTTTCATTGTACCTTTCTACCCAAACATACCATTACACAAAGTAGCAAATGGTATAGAAGATGACAATGCTCTTTGGCTTTGAAACTAAGAGAATAGTGCATTTATGAAGAGGCATTTTGAAGGGAAGAGTCTTTCCTACACATTAGAGGAATATAATGAAAGATAAAACATTTGAGGAACCCTGAATAAAAGTTTAGATTCGAGGATAGGTAACGAAAATCGAGCAAGCATTTCAGGATCTTCCAATAATTGAAAATACTTTTTGGAAACCCTCAGAAAAAGATTTAGATCTGGCTGGGCAGGCGACTGAGAAGATGAGATTTCGATTTAGGAAACCAGCATAAGAAATAGAGAAAAGCTTAAGGCGTCTTAAAAGGTGTGATGTGGTGGAAACCCATTTAGTCAAGTGGTTTAACTAAGTGTTCATTAATGTTTCTACACTAAGAGGTTGAGTTTTGAATCCCAACAAAAGCAAAATTATGCGATTAATGGGAAGAAACAACTTACATGAAATCTACTGTATAGAGCAAGGAGTATCGTCGGATAGACGCGATTCCTCATAAGTTTGGTAAAATTGTTCACTTTAGAATGGTGTGTAATATTTTTTTTTTGAAAAAATGTGATGGGAAATATTATTAGGGCGAACTACTTTGGTAGGCATATGTTCAAACTTTCTATTTCGGGAATTAGGATATATTTCCATTGGAAGTACTTATTACACACGCAAAACAACCTAACATAAAAAGAACACATGTCGACACAAAATGTCCACAGAGACCCTATTGGAATAACTTCCATATCTAATCGTCACCTATGATTGGGGATCTGATATAAGTCAATCGTCACACTTTTGGTAGTAAATCGAAGCGCTTATTTGTATAATAAAGTTGAACGTTATTATGTTCTAGAAAACATAAGAAATCATTTCAATTCTTTTCGTCTCTCTCTCTCTCTCTGAAACTCTTCAGACCCAAAATAAAACCAGAACCTAGTAATTAGATGTCTCAAATGGACATTTCTACGAGAACGGACGAAGGAGTATGGAGAAGCAAGCCGTCGTTTATGACGTGGAGAGCGCGCGACGTCGTGTACGTTTTAAGACACCATTGGATACCGTGTCTGTTCGCGGCCGGATTCTTGTTCGTCGTAAGCGTGGAGTCCTCGATCAAGATGGTTTCCGACAGTTCTCCGCCGCTCGATATTGGGTTTGTGGCCACGCGGTCTCTGCATCGTCTCTTGGCTTCTTCACCGGATCTGAACACCGGTTTGGCCGCTTTAAACTCGGTATGTCTTAAGAATTGGTTTGAGTGAATTCGATAGATGATGATGTGTGTGGATGTGCAATTAACAAAATAATTGTCTTTGGTTAAAAATTAAACTTAATGTGATTTGATACCATAAATAGTGCTATGTTTCTTAATAACTCCCGATTTTCTTTTAATTTTAACTTGTTATTTTGCTATGTCCGTAAATTACAATTTTTCTTATTTAATGATTTAGATTTCCACATTAAAAATTTCAATTTTAAAAGAAATGATTATTATCTCCGTTTGTTATGAAGACGTGAAATTTATCATAGACGGCGTCAGAAAGCTAAAACCCTAAGACCAAATGCTACCTCTACATTATATCATATTCTTCTTCCTGATGATTACTAAATTAACTTAGGAAAAAAATCTTTCCGCATCACCTAACAGCTTGTTTCATTGTTTTTCATTTAATTCATAATAGTATAACGGATATGTATCCAACCAAATATCTTGACTCATTTGAGTTTGGTAAGTTTTTTTTTTTTCTGAAACTAAGTTTGGTAAGTTTTTTTGCAAGATTTTAAATGCCTTAGGGAAACTAATGATTTTGTTACTAAGTTGATTTGACATATCACTTGCGACCATGAATGCAAAGATCTAAGTCTAATATTTTCAATATTATTAGATTTTCTTTTTATAAAACTTGACCCTTAGATTTTAAGAAACATTTGCAAATAATACAAATAACAAAATCAGGATTTTAGGATGTATAATTAGATTCTGTGCAAAACCTTATATGCTCTTCCTTTACTGAGATTTATTTGTATTGGTGGATGGGGACATGCAGGTGTTAGGAGTGATGCAAGTATCGTATATTGCATTGACATGGTTAATAGAAGGACGGCCACGAGCCACCATCACTGCTTTATTCCTCTTCACTTGTCGTGGTGTTCTCGGTTACTGTACTCAGCTTCCTCTTTCAAAGGTTCCGATCTATATATCTATTATCATACCAATTATTCTTTAGATAGTTTAGGTATGTTCTATCAGATGTCCAATTACTGATCAATCAATATCAGATACTAGAACGTTGGCGTGCATATGATTTCCCTTGGCCATTATTCAAAAAAGCAGTTTTATAATCCCCAATTTTTTTTGATATTCTGGAATCTCTATAAAAGTGTTAGATTGTATTATCATAGAGAGGTTGTCGTAGTTATTTCTTAAATAACTTGTACGTAGTTGATTGACTGGACAAAAGACACGACTTATTACGTAAGCCAAATTCTATAAAGTATAGAATATATAAATTATTTATGTATATCGTCTAGGTATACTAGTTAGTATTTACATGCCAAAACAATTGATTGAATTGATGTTGATGAGCTCCTCTATTGAGATATTTAATCTTGCATATTGTTTTCAATCTTGTTTACAGGAGTATCTAGGATCAGCAATCGATTTCCCGCTAGGAAACCTCTCGTTCTTCTATTTCTTCTCTGGTCACGTGGCAGGCACGACCATCGCATCTTTGGACATGAGGAGAATGCAGAGGTGGAGACTTGCTATGGTTTTTGATATCCTTAATGTGTTACAGTCGATCAGACTCCTCGCAACCAGAGGACACTATACGATCGATCTCGCAGGTGGAGTTGCTGCCGCAATTCTCTTTGATTCATTGGCTGGCAAGTACGAAGCGAATACTAGGAAGAGACAATTGTAGGAAGTGGTTTCAACTTCATTACCAAAAGACTTGAAAGAGCTGTTGAATTAAGTCTACTGTAGTTCGGCAATTATTCACCGTGAGCCAGTGGCTTGGACTTATTCGACCCTAATAGTTATGGTCAGACTGTATATGTTGTTTATTTCTCATTTTTATTCGACTCCGCAGTTTGTGATATGGGTTTGGTCAATAGTTGGTTCAATTGTTTTTTAATTGGTTTAACTCAAAAAGTTGTAAAACGTTGTGTAATACCAGATTACTGAACAACGGTCTTGACATCCCAGTTCAATGTTGTCCCGGACAACTTATGGTAAAAAAGGAAAAACACTTGAACTATTTGCTTAACTGATTACATTACTTAAGAACACTTTATTCGTAAAAATAGGCATGGGTGTCTCTAATCGGGTTTCAGTTCTTTGGGAGCATAAATTTTAGCCATACTGAATATTTTTAAGAGTTTGGTTCAGATTTTTCGGATTCGGTTTTGGATATAACAACACATCACAAATCTGGTCTAACTCATTTTAAATCGAGAAAATTACTAGAATGATACATAAAAGCTTGTATATGACTAGAATAGTATATATTTCCTAAAAATTACTAGAATGTTTTTAGACTCCTAGTAAATTACAATAAACACCCTTGTTTAATTTTGTTACTATTGATACAAATTTTAATTATTAAATTCACATCATAATTTGACAATCCACGTCACTAACTAATTTGTGTCATCAGTTACACTGGAAAATCAACAGTCTCATATCTTCGGTAAACAAAAAAAAAGTCTTAATGTCACATTCTTCTCCGTCACAACTCTCGTTAAACCCTAACCGATTACGAAATCCCGAAATCATCTCTGTCACAACTAATACTCCCGTTTCAAACAGTGTTTCCGATATCTTAAATCATCTTCGTCGACCTCGTTAAACCCTAACCGTCTCCGATATCATCTTCGTCGACATCCTCTTCTCCGCAAAAGTTTCGACGTAATCGTATCTACGACATCATCTTCTCTGGTATGTTGTGTCTGAGTTTGATTTCGTGTCTGAGTTATAGATTATGTTGTTACTGAGTTATTGTATAGTGTGGCTGAGTTGAGTTTGATTTATGAAGTGGCTGAGTTATTGATTATGATCCGACTGAGTTATTGATTATGTTTTGGTTGAGGTATTGATTACTGTGGCTGAGTTATACATTATGTTGTGGCTGGGTTATTTATTATTTATGATTTGACTGAGTTATTGATTATGTTTTGGCTGAGTTATTGCTATGGTGGCTGGGTTATTTATTATGTTGTTGCTGAGTTTTGTTTCTATTGCGGCTGATTTATCTATATATGTGTTTTAGGATCAGATGGCTATTTCTGAAGATCAAGCACGGGATTATCCTCCACGACTTTACGCTGAAGGGGCTTCTAATCTAGAAAATAAAG